TTTATCTCTTCTTTATATTTTACTTTCATACCTTGTGACTCTTCTCCCTTTCCCTCCATAGTTCACTTCCTTTTCAGTCTTCTAATTGATAGTCAAAACCCCCTGGGACCTGTAATTAACTAGCTGATGTTTTTGTTTTATTTATATACCTACTTAATTTTGGTGTGTGTGTGTGTGTATGTGTGTGTGTGTGTGTGTGTGTGTGTGTGTGTGTGTGTGTGTGTGTGGCGGGGGGACACACCTATTGATTTTTAGGGGTTATTCCTAGCTCTGCACTCAGGAATCACTCCTGGTGGTGCTCTAGGGACCATCTAGGATGCTGGAGATCGAATTCAGTCAGCCATATGCAAGGCAATTGCCCTACCTGCTGTATTACCTCTCTGGCCGCTCTTTTGTTTTTGTTAGCCTTTTTTTTTTTTTCACATACCCAGCAGTGCTCAAGGTTTACTCCTAGTTCTGTGCTCAAGGTCACTCCTGGTGGGGACCATATACACCCCTGGGAATCAAACCTTGGTTAGCCAAGTGCAAAGCTTATACTGTTTCTTATACTGTTTCTCCAGACCAGGTTTATGGTTTCTACTTCCTTTCTCTTTTTGTTCGTGGATATTTGAATGAACATTAAAAGTATATTTATTATTGCTTTGGCAGCTATGGAGATGGCACAAAGGACTGGAGTACATTCTTTGCATGTGGGAGCCAGCTGTTCTGGTCTCATGGTTCCCTGGGCACTGTCAGAAGTAACCCCAGAGATGGGTGACCTCCTTCCATGCCCCTGTTCTGCTGGTATCCTGGCAGTCACTCCCCCTCTGGTGCATATAAGCTCATTAACTGACCATGGTCCAGAGACTCATAAATAAATCTCAAAAGAGATCAGCACGCTGCTGAGATGCTTCCGGTCCCCGAAGTTACCATCCAGTTAAAAATTTAACTCCAGCTGTATCACCTAATTCAAAATTTTAGAATTTTAATACTCTATACCGCTGATACACCAGGGGTAGCACAAAGCTTAACCTGTAACAACATGTTGGTAATCTCTTATACAAGGGTTTAATGGCTCCAGGGTGAGATACAACAATCTTCACATACTTTCTTCTTCTTTTTTTTACTATTGATGGTGAGTTGATTTTTTTTTTAATGTAGAAGTACTGCTATTTATTCAGCCACTGATTACGCTGATTGAATTGGACATGAACTCCACCACATGCTTTCTTCTGAGGGAATCTTTTTTTGATCACTTTTAACAAATTAATCATAACGAGCAATACAAAATGAATCATTTAGGACATACCTACTGTTGGGGCAGGCTTGGGTGATGTACGGGAAAATTGGAAATAATGGTGGTGGGAAGGTTTAAAATGATGGTGGGACTAGTGTTGGAATATCAAATGTAATAAATGATCTTGAACACGGGTCATGGTCCTCCCGTTATTCATCGATTTGCTCGAGTGGGCCCAGTAACATCTCCATCGTGAGACTTGTTGTTACTATGTTTGGCATATTGAATACTTCACGGGGAGCTTGCCAGGCTTTCCCGTGCGGGCAAGATACTCTCGGTAGCTTGCCGGGCTCTCCGAGAGGGGCAGAGGAATCGAACTTGGGTCGGCCATATTGGCCACTTGCAAGGCAAACTGTGCTATCGCTCCAGCCCCATCTTGAACAACTTAAAATAAATAAATAAATAAATTTTAAAAAGAATCAGAAAAAAATAGAAGTAACCCCAAGAGTTTCATACTAGGAATAACCCTGAGCACCACTGGGTATGGCCCAAAATTAAAGAAAATAAAGTACCCCTTTTGGCTAACGGCCAAACACCTAATATTAAAAATCACTGTGAGCTGAACCAGAGAGATGGTTTAATAGCTAAGGCACTTGCCTTGTATTCAGCCAACTCCTGTTTAATATCTGATGCTGTGTAAGGTTCCCAGAGCACCACTCTGCGTCACTCCTAGAACAGCCAGGAACAGTTCCTGGGCACGACTGGTGTGGCCCCAAAACCAAAATAAAATGACGTAATAAAATAATCTAATGATCAGGCTGAAAACTTATAGCACCATATTAGAGTAAGTTTTGGGGAAATGAGAAAACAATTTTTTTACCTTCCACAGGTTTGAGTCACAAGAAATTTTATCTAGCAAATTAAAAAAAAAATTATCTTAAATTTTTCTAGTAAAATGTTTGTTTTGAAGTTTGATTAATGCAAATGTTTTTTTCTCTAATACTTTTATAAACTTTATATTCTTTATTGTACTGTATCAAAGATGATTTATCATACACATGATTAAGGAGGGTTTTTCCTTTTGTTGGAAATTTAAGGTGGCTAGTTTAATAATATTTGTTTTTTTTTTAATTAACCTTAACAGGAAGTGAAACTTCATTAAAAAGTTTTTATTGAAGATTCATGATTTTAGTTAAAGTGAATACCTAAAAATTAAAATTGGTTTTTTAAACTCACTTTAATGCTATGAATGTTAATATACTACATTATTTATCAAAGGTCAGAATTAATATATAAATCCATTTTATGTTATTCTGTCTGAGTGTTCAAATTTATTTAAAGTTTGCTGTCTCAAAAAGGAAATGATATTTGGGACTGGAGCAATAGTACAGTGGGTGAGGTGCTTGCCTTGCATGCAGCAGACCTAGGATTGATCCCCAGCACTCCACATAAACCTGAGCACTACCCAGGAGTGATTCCTGAGTACACAGCCAGAAGAAACCCCTGAGCATCACCAGGTGTGACCAAAAACAAAAAAAATAACAGTAATAATAAAGTTTTAAGCGAAAGAAAACAGTATTCTTTAGAAACATATTTAACACACTCAACTTTGTGTTTACTGTTACTTCTTAATTTAAAATCAGTGAACTGAAGTATTTATTAAGATTATACGCAGAACCAGTAACTAAAAATAATGTTCATGGTTAAATAAAATTAAAACATCCTTCAAGAAATGTCAGTCAGCTACATCAAGGCGTGGGGGGGGGGGGGGGAGAGAGAGAGAGAGATAGAGGAGGGGAGGAGGAGAGGGGAGAGAGGACTTGATCTCTTTGCTACTTCATGATTGGCATCCCTGTATAGTCTGGTTCTCACAGGTCTGTCTCTTTGATCCCCCCCTTTGAATATGAATGATTATTGAACACTAGTGGAACTTTAGTGTAAATTAACAACCCTATCACATTAGAAGATAAAACACACTGTCCTCCCGTTGTTCATCAATTTTGCTCGAGCGGGCCCAGTAAGTCTCCATTTTGAGACTTGTTGTTAACTGTGTTTGGCATATTGAATATGTCACGGGTAGCGAGATACTCTCGGTAGCTTGCCGGGCTCTCTGAGAGGGCCCGAGGAATCGAACCCGGCTCAGCCGGGCTGGCTGTGTGCAAGGCAAACGCCCTACCGCTGTGCTATCGCTCCAGCTCTTCAGGAGAAATAACTAGGGTGAGACTTAAAGAAGAGTGCTTCATGGTCTTCAGTATTTTTTTTGTTTTGTTTTTGATTTGTTTTGTTTTTTGGGGGGCACATCCAAAGGTGCTCAGGGCTGATTCCTGGCTCTGCACTCAGGGGTCACTCTTGGTGGGGCTTAAGGGACCATAAGGGATGCTGGAGATTTGAACATTAGAAATGTTTACAGAGTAGGAGGCCAGAGAGATAGTACAGTGGGGAAGGCACGCACTTACCTTACATGTGGCTGACCTGGGTTTAACGCCTGCACCTAATATAGTCCCCAAGCCTGCCAGGTGTGAACCCTAAGTGCAGAGCCCTGAGCACAGTTCATTAAAAATTTTGGGTCAAAAACCAAAATCAAGCAAATAAAAAAGAAATACTGGAATATTTACAGATTTGATGAAGTTTTATTTTGAGTTGGGGGTCACTCCCAGCAGTGCTCAGGGGTTATACCTGGTGGTGTTCAGGGGACCATATGGGATGCTAGAGATTTAACTTGGGTTGGCTGCATGCAAGAGAAGTGCTCTACCTGTTGTCAATTTGCATTGTGAATAAATGGGTAGTATTTCTGAATGTTGTCCAAGACACTTCGATGTTGATACAACCAAATATTTGTAGACTATAACTCTTCCCTTTATTGGCACTCAATTTTCATTTAAAAATTTTTACTTTGTAAAGTTTTATTCTCCTTCCCTTTATTGTTGCTGTGATGATTGGGGCTTGCATGTACACACGACTATGTTGCCCATACATTTTTAGTTGTGCTCACCAGGGCTCACACCTCCAGGTTTCAGTGATTACACTCCAGCCTGTGGTGCTACTGAGGTTTGCATTCATTTACTCATGGTTCCTGTACGCATACTCACCAAGAGTCACACTCTTAATCAAGGCACACAAGTTCTGGTTATAGTGCTCACAGAGGGTGGGGTGGGTCTCTGATGCTTACACATGTACTCTCCAGTTGTGTAAATATCTTTTCAGTGGTGCTTCTTGCGGGTTGCACCTCTGTTTTTTATGGTGCTTCTACATACCTGGATCCTCTGTGGCTGGAAATCGTTTTTGCCACGGGAGGATGGCAGATAGCAGAGCTGCTGGGCTCAAATAGCACTGCTGCCAGGATCACTTTCAGCAGATGTGGGACACTAAGGATTTTTGTTTGTTTGGGAACCACACCCATTGTACATGGCTCTGTGGTCAGGAATCACTCCTGGCAGGGCGGGAGGAACCATATGTGCTTCCAATGATTAAACCCAGATTGGTGGAGTGTAAGACAAGTGCCTACATTATAGCTCCAGGCCACATTGAGGATTTGAAATCATGAACATAGGCCTGTAGGGTGAGCGCTGCAAGCCACAGCTCTGTTCCTGGGGCTCCTAAACTACTGTGAGGAACTGAAGTTGGCAATAAGTATTTGATTTTGAAATAGAAGAGTCGATGATATTAGAGAAATTGTACTTGAGATCAAAATCCTCCAAAGCAACAGGTAAAATGTCATTGGATTGATTTGATTTAACTTCTCAAGAGTTATTTGGATTCTCTCTTTCTATATTTTAAATTTCAGATTCAACCTTATGAAAAGATAAAGGCCCGGGGCTTACCTGACAATATATCTTCTGTGTTGAACAAGCTGGTGGTGGTGAAACTCAATGGTGGTTTGGGAACCAGCATGGGCTGCAAAGGTCCCAAAAGTCTGATTGGTGTGAGGAATGAGAATACCTTTTTGGATCTGACAGTTCAGCAAATTGAAGTGAGTAACTTTTATACTTTCTCGTGAGATATTAAAAATCACTTTTAGCTTGTAGGCTGTTTAAATGTTCCCTTGATTGAATCAAGGAGTTTGTTAATCTTTAGCCTCTTTATTAGTATATTTAAAAGTTTACTGTTTGTAAGGGCAGATGTTTAGGCTGATATAAAAGCTTTTTATCTTTAAGTAGCATTTGTGGTTACATTTCTGGATCTACTCTGATTTTCCTTTGATCCCTACTTCCTTTTTAGTGGCAGCCTTCCACAGTGGGTATCACATGTCTGGCTTTCTTAACCCTTTGCAGTTATTTCTTTGACAAAGATGGGGAGAATTAAACATACCTGGTTAGAAGCAATACGCTGAGAATTCTCTTGGCTTTTCTTTTCAGATGAAGTTATTACTTGTAACTCTTCAGGAGCAGTGATCCCATCTTTTATTTATTTTATTTTATTTTTTTTATCACCAGTGTCTGGTCAGCTACAGGGATAACTATAGTAGTAGCAGTGGGTAACATTTATCCACCTTTACTGTATACCAAATATTATTCTAAGCATCTTACATTAATTGACTTACTTGTTCTTCTCAACAACTCTGTAAGAAAGGTGCTATTTTCTCCATTTTACAGATGAGGAAACCAAAGCACAGAGAGGCTGAGTTACTTGGTTAAGGTTCCCAAGCTAGCCAGCAAGGGCAGCATCAAAGTTTGAATACAAGCCTGCTTTCTTTTCACTTTTTGTTGGCTAAGAATATGCTTTATAGAAACTGACAAGATTTCAGTTGGGATGGGATTTGCAGTTCTTTGCTATTAATCTAAGATCAAGGAGCTTTGTCTTTACAAATCCTCTCATTTGGATTTTCATCCCCACAGTGCTCTGAATACACATTCTTAGTCAGCTTTTGTCTGTCTGTTCAATAAAGGAGCCAGTAATGTTATTGGGCTGGGCACACAGACCCAGAGTCAGGCTGCCAGGATGAGGTAGAGGGGATGCAGGCCTTGCTGCTGGCCTGTCCCCCTCGCTGGGCATCAGTTGAGCCATATGAAAAGTGAAGGTTATAGTTTGTTTCATAGGATTGTGAGTTAATGAACAAATACTCAGTGAATTGACTTGCACAATGTCTAGATGATCAGTAATTTTTATTTCAAATCTACATATTTCACTACATAGATAATGCGTTTAACATACTGGAATTAACCATTGATTAATATTACACTTTCAAGTGGAAGAATAGTAAATCTGGGTAATCTGTCAATTTTCTTCCTAGCATTTGAACAAAACCTACAATACAGATGTTCCTCTTGTCCTAATGAATTCTTTTAACACCGATGAAGATACAAAAAAAATACTACAGAAGTACAATCACTGTCGTGTGAAAATCTACACTTTTAATCAAAGCAGGTATAAGAAATTTTTTGTAAAGTAATTTAGGATGTATTACTCCTGGAAAAGACTTGCCTTGTTTAAATTGAGCAACCTCAAAATGTGCATGAGCCAAAGAATAATGTTTGCATGTGTTTGATGCCTCTAAAGGCTGAAAATTGCTCATAAATATGTGATTGTTATAATAACTCTGGTTTTTTATCTTGTGATTCTTAAAAGAAAATCTGTTTAGGATTCTGTTCTATATATGGAATAATTGAGGATACCTTAGGTGTTATATATTTGCTCTCCATGTAGATCTGTGAAAATCTGGTAACTTTCCTATGAGGGAAGAATTTATTCAGTAACCCAGTTAAACTTGAGTGAAATTTAATAAATCATGATAAAAATGTACTTTGAAGAAGAGTAAGTATGAAAGGAATTCGGATGAAGAATTGTGATAAAGTTCAGACACTTGGAAAACAGGATTCTATGTATATGTATTCTATGAATACAGGTTTGTGTATGGACGTGTATGAAATGGAGATTTCTAAAGTGATACCACTGGTTTCATTTTGTTTAATTTTTTTTTCCATAAATTCTTATGTGGTAGGTATTCTTCCTCGATTTTCTGTTGGTCTGTCTGTTCAATTTGTTCAGTACTAGTACCTCTGTGTCCTTACACATATTCTCACTAGTTGTAGGAAACAGATATCCGTGAGCTAAATTGCTGATTTTCTGCGAAAGAAAGGGCACCACCACCACTGCATGTATCTCTGTGAGATATGTACAGCTTTTCCCAAATAGGTTTTGGGGATAGGGGCTGAGGGAAAATGGTTCCACAGTCAAATAAGTTTGAGAAAAAGTAACAAATACACACACTGTCTACAATTCCTTCTTGGATGGTCATAAAACACTGATGACCTTAATATTTCAGCTAGGGAGATAGCTCCAATGCTCAAAGTCGTGAAACACATTGGTACATGTCGTCCTAGTACCACTGCTGTGACCATGAAAACATTTTTAAATGAAATGTTACTATGTAGAAAACAGTTTTTTCTCAGGTGGACTCATGCCTTATTAAATAAATAGATTTAATTGGAGGAAAATGGGCTGGAGCGATAGCACAGCGGGTATGGCATTTGCCTTGCGCACGGCCGACCCGGGTTCATTTCCTCCACCCCATTTGGAGAGCCCGGTAAGCTACCAAGAGTATCTCGCCCACACAGCAGAGCCTGGCAAGCTACCCATGACGTATTTGATATGCCAAAAACAGTAAAAAGCCTCACAATTTGTTGTGAGATGTTATTGGTGCCCACTTGAGCAAATCGATGAACAACGGGAATACAGTACAGTGCTACAGTGCTAATTGGAGGAAAAAAGTTTATTTAACCTTAAATGCATTGTTTCACTTGAATTTCTGGAATTCTTTTCAGAATTGATACAGAAAAGAACTTTTTCTTTTTTGCAGGTACCCAAGGATTAATAAAGAATCTTTTTTGCCAGTAGCAAAGGATGTATCTTACTCAGGGGAAAACACAGAAGCTTGGTACCCACCAGGCCATGGCGATATTTATGCCAGTTTCTACAATTCTGGTTTGCTTGATACCTTTATAGGAGAAGGCAAAGAATATATTTTTGTGTCTAACATAGACAATCTGGGTGCCACAGTGGATCTTTATATTCTTAATCATTTAATGAACCCACCGAATGGAAAACGCTGTGAATTTGTCATGGAAGTCACAAATAAAACACGTGCAGATGTAAAGGTAAATACATAAAGGAAGTAGTTTGGGGATTCATAACTTCACATTTCATAGGTTATATATAGTTCACTTAATGAAATATTTATCTACTTGATAGCATGTTATATGTACTACGTTATGAGATAGAATAAGATATGCTGGCTTCCTTCTGATGTATTATATAAATCCAGATTTTTAGTATTAACTGATTTTGTTTTGGAGCCACACCCAGGGATGCTTAGGGGTTACTCCTGGCTCTGCATTCAGGAATCACTCCTGGCAGTGTTCAGGGGACCATATGGGATGTCAGGATCGAACTTGGATCAGCTGTGTGCAAGGCAAGCAACCTACATGCTGTACTATTACTCTGGCCCCAGAAGTGATTATATTTTTAGGGCATAAGAATGATTTTAACAGAAAACCATTCCTCATATATTTATGGAATAAATTTGATTCATGTAAAACTACTTTTGATATATTTGTTCAAATCTAAATATTCACTTATTGTTCATAATTTTTATTTCATTGTCCTTTTAATGAAAATTTACTACTCCGTGTTTATGGTATTTCTGTATTTTGATCACTATTAAATTTCTTTAGCTGTAAAAATGCAGTTTTTGGGCCAAGCAGTAGCACAGGGTTAAGGAATTTGCTTGCACATGGCAAACAAGCTTGATCCTGGCACTGCAAGAATAAGCACTGAACACTCCAAGGTGTAGCCCCAAAACAAAACAACAGTTACTAGGTAAAAATATTTTTTCTTTAATTTTAGTATGTTTAGTGGTGATGACATTTGGCCTTTGATGAAATAGTATGCAAGATTTTATAACATCCATGAGAGCAAAGAAAGTGGGCAGTTTTTGAATAGTGAAATGTTGATATCAGTCCCTCTGTTAATATCTATGCCTTTTACAAATATTCTTTCTCATATACCTTATGCTTTGACCCTTGACTGTAAAAACATTTCTATATTTAGGCCAGTCAGAGCAGGTTCTAAGTGGTAGGACAGATTGGTGTGGGATGGTGCTTTAGGAATAAGAAATGGTTCCTACAGATCTCTGGAAAGTGAGAAAATTCTGATGTATTCCAGGGACTTGTATTCTGGACAAGAGGGTGGTTATTTAGCATTGAACTTCAGACAACGTAAATGATTATTTTTGGATCTACCGTCAAACATTTTTTAAATATAGATAAAATCATTATCGATGCTTTTTATTTCTGGAGAAGCAATCAGTCTCTTTTCTCTAACTTTCATAGATTAAGCAGTCTGGTATAATTGTGATTGGGAGAGATTTGAAGGTACTCACTTTTTTTTTTTTTTTTTTTTGGTCATTCTAGGGTGGGACACTTACTCAGTATGAAGGAAAACTGAGACTGGTGGAAATCGCTCAAGTGCCAAAAGCACATGTTGATGAGTTCAAGTCTGTATCAAAATTCAAAATATTTAATACAAACAACCTATGGATCTCTCTTGCAGCAGTTAAAAGACTGCAAGAACAAAATGCTATTGACATGGAAATCATTGTGAATCCAAAAGTAAGCCAAAGTTTGGGGCCATTGGGGTCTTGGTTCCTAAAATCATAAGCTACATACAAACCCATTGCTAATTTCATTCCTGTTTGTCTACTCTATCTCTTCAGTTCATGGCTCTTTCTGAATCTATACTTAACCTTTTAATGTGCCTAGCCAGAATGCCCTTATTTGATCCTCAGCTCTCTGGTAGAGACAAAATATTGAGCCCAAAAGTGGAGGGGAAGCGCAACCACAGTCTTAGGTTGCTGTTCTGGTTTTTACCGGCCTTTTGGCCATAAGCACTTTGCATGAGGTTTTGAAATATATGGTTTATTGTAAAATGGAAATATAGTACTAAACAGAAGTTAGGATACTGAAAAAGAAGTGTTTGGTGTCGGTTCTCAAACTTGTTTCCTTTAATAAGGATTTCTAAAATCTTTCAACCTAAATCAGTTAGCCCTCACAGAATTAAATTACTGGTACTTAAAAACCTGTATTTCTCCCTTCTTTCTTGCAGACCTTGGATGGAGGCCTAAATGTCATTCAGTTAGAAACTGCAGTAGGAGCAGCCATTAAAAGTTTTGAGAATTCTCTAGGTATCAATGTTCCTAGGAGCCGTTTTCTGCCTGTGAAAACAACATCAGATCTCTTGCTTGTGATGTCTAACCTCTACAGCCTTAAAGCTGGTTCTTTGACGATGAGCGAAAAGCGGGAATTTCCTACAGTGCCCTTAGTTAAATTAGGCAGTTCTTTTACAAAGGTATGTAATTATAGATGTATGATATACTCATGAAATTTAATTTCTTAAATGTTTAAAGATACGATATACATGTGAGCTGGAATTTAAGTTCAGTCTCTCCTGCTAATCTTATTCAGTTCCTCTATCTTTTAAAGAGAACTGACCCGCGAAGACAAAGATGTAATATATATTAAAGCCTGACTACTATAGAGTAGAAAAAAATGTTTACATTTTGGGATATTTTATTTTCTATGTCTTTGAAGACCTATACTGCTTTGATCAGTGGGAAAACATTAATTCTGGTTTAACAAATTCTTCCTGAGCTCCTACCATATTCTGGGTGGTGTTCTGGGTACTGAGTATCTACCAGTAAACAAAACAGAATTATATCCTTGTCTTCATGAATATTTTAGTACAGAAAGACAATAATAATTAAAATATGAAGTTGCCCAGTGATAGGAATGCTATGGAGAAAAATAAAATAGGAATAGTGAACGTGTGGGTGGGGTCACAGTGGTGTAATTTTACATTGGTTAAAGATAGTTTTTCTGAGAAAATGGTACATGTTGGTATTAATATTTTAAACAGGGGGATTGTGAGTATAGTAAAATTTAACATGGTAAGTAAAATTAAAAAAAATTAATCAAGTGAATGGAAGATTAACAGAGTGATAGGATGAACTTTTGATGGCTGGCCTGTGAAGTCCTACTACTAAAGAGGACAACAAGGGAGAAAAGGAGGTGGTGGCTGCCGAAATCCTGGCAAGAGGAAAGAGTGGAGCAGATGAAGTTGGTAGCAGTGGAAATAATGAATGTTTATGAGATTTTTTTAAAGTTAATACCTATAGTATTTGCTGTTGGAATAGATGGGAGGGAGAGGCAGAGTAAGGAAAAAGGAAAGGGAATGATTCCAAGGTCTTTGGCCTGTGCGGATGAAAGCATGGATTGCTATTACTGAGATGGTGGAAGACTTTATAGAGCACGTTTAGTGAAGCAAGATAGGAAACAGAGATCTAGATAAGACAGGTACTGAGTTTCCAGTTTCTAGCTGGCATGATACAGGTCATCATGTAGAAATGGATCATCTTGGGGGATCTGAGTTCGGTAACTGGGTCTGAGGTACTAGAAGGCTTAGAGGATGGAGATAATAGTGGTAAAGGTGACAAAGGAGGTACAGATGAGAAACTGGGTCGAAAATTATGTCTTAAAAAAACAAAATGTTTCAAGAAAGAGGGAGTGCTTTTTCTGATTCAAGTAAAGTGAATGATAATTCATAATTAGATTGATTTGTCAGTATAGAAGCTTTGGACCTGACTAGAACGGATTTTAAAGACAATGGAAGTTTCTAACTGTATCTCATGGTGATTCATTAAAAAATAAAGAGAATAGAAGAATAATTAAAGGTATGGATGTAGATAATGGGGGTGAGAGTAAAGACACTGTGTTAATGGTAGCAGAAGCATACACTGGTGTTAGTTGGTATTAGCATTTGGAGAGAATGAATTTGGAATGTATGCGTGAGACACTATTACTAATAAACTATTGTAAATCAGGGTGCTGCAAATAAAATTTTTTTAAAAAGTTATGGCTTACAAAACCTCTAAAAGTTTTAAATTAGCACAGAAGGCTCAACCTGTAAGAACATGTTAATCTCTTATACAAGGACTTAATGGCTTCAGGGTGAGATACAACACTTTTCACATACTTTCCTCTAAGGAAATTTTTTAAAATCATTTTATGAATGATCACTGTAGATTCTTCATAAAAGCAATACAAAATAAATTATTTAGGGGCTTTTGGTGCAGGCTTTCGTGATGGTGGAGTATTCAAAATAATGGTGGTGGGAAGGTGTAATGGTAGTGGGACTGGTGTTGGAATACTGAGTAATAAATTATTGTGAACAACTTAAAATAAAAACTTAATAAATAAAATTAAAAATTTTTTTAAAAAAAAAGATGGGAAGATTTAGGGCTGGAGAGTACAGAGGGTAGGGTGCTTGCCTTAGAGGCAGAGGGTGGTTATTGTTGTGGTAATGTTTTTCACTTATGTTTTTCTCAACAAAATAGGAAGTAAGGCCACAGAGATCATTTCCTAGGGCATGTGATTATTTATAATAATTAGTTCTACTTGTTTTCCTGAAACGATTCCTTTTCCAAAATCTACCTATTCTATTAAGACCAGCTCTAAACTAATTTGCTGCAGATCATTATGATGTTTCTCTTGCTAATTCTACTCGCCTGGCTCTTAGCATGTTGGTTCATTATCTTTATTTTTTAAATATTATTTGCTCAGCTGTATTGTAAATTTCTTGGTTTTAGGGTTAATGTTTCTATCTCCTTGTCTTTCTTGCATAAAATCTGCCATGTAGTAAGTGCTTAATGAATAGGTTCTCTCAACGAGGATCTGAGTGTGGCCTTAAACAGTGTTTTGTAATCAATTAAATTATCTTCTTTATATAATTTTTTGTTCTGTTAATCCATTTTTGACACAATTTACATGGTTCTATTTTTCTCTCAGGTTCAGGATTATCTGAGGAGATTTGAAAGTATACCAGATATGCTTGAATTGGATCACCTTACAGTTTCAGGAGATGTGACATTTGGCAAGAATGTTTCTTTAAAGGTATGCTGTTACAAAGTTATAGCTTTGACAACTTTGCTAAACAGCTTAAAAAAAAAAAGACTTAATTTATGTTTAATAAGTACTTCCCAGTCTAGTACTAGTTAATTTTTAGAGGAAAGGATAGAGGGAGAACACCTAGTGGTGGTCAGGCCACTCCTGGCACAGTACTTGGGGGCAATTCCTATAGCCCTGCTTGGGGGATTACGCAGTGCGAGGGACAGATCTGGGGCTCCTGCGTGCAAGCATGGCAACTGAGCACTTTGAGCTATCTCTCTGGCTCCTTAGTAATAGATATTTATAAGATGTAGGTACCAGTGTAGCACTCTCCTCCCGTTTTCATTGATTTGCTTGAGCGGGCCCAGTAACGTCTTCATTGTGAGACTTGTTGTTACTGTGTTTAGCATATCGAATATGTCATGGGTAGTTTGCCAGGCTTTGCTCTGTGGGTGAGATACTCTTCAGTAGCTTGCTGGGCTCTCCGAGAGGGGAGGAGGAATTGAACCTGGCTTGGCCAGGCCAGCTGTGTGCAAGGCAAACGCACTCTCATTGTGCTATAGCCCCAGCCCTTCATATTTTAAAAATGAAATAGAACTGGAGAGATGGCTCAGTGGGCTAAGTGCATGCCCTGGCACGACCTCTGAACACTGAGCCCACACCAAACCAACCCAGCCAACAACAACAAAAAAAGAAAACCCCGCACCAAAATGTCTTATATAGAATTAACACTGTGTCTTGTCTTCTGTGGGCCGGAGCGATAGCATGATGGGTAGCATTTGCCTTGCATGCAGCCGACCCAGGTTCGATTCCTCCGCCCCTCTCGGAGAGCCCGGCAAGCCACCGTCTGCATGGCAATGCCTACCCATAACGTATTTGATATGCCAAAAACAGTAACAAGAAGTCTCACAATGGAGACATTACTCCCGCTTGAGCAAATCGATGAACAATGGGAGGACAGTGCTACAGTGCATTGTCATTCAACATAGTTAAGAATATAAGCATAATTATTGTACACTTAATTATATTTATTGTAACTATGTAATTACACAATTATTTTACATTAATTATTGTATGAGCTTTGTGGAATATTGCATTCAAGTAAAGATTAATAAGCTACTACTATTTTACTGAAATGAGAATCTAAAATTACTCATTTAGGGACCTGAGAGAGTATAGAAGTTAAGGCACTTGCCTTGCATGCAGCTGACCCTGGTTTTATCCCTAATACCACATATCAGGAGTGACCCCTGGCCCCAGAGCCAGGACTGAGTTATGAACACCACGGAGTACAGCACAAAAAACAAGAAAAATACTAAATTAGCATTACCTTCTTAAAGATTATCTGACAGACTTTCTTCCTTCTACTTTCCTCAGCCAACAGCCTGCCTCTTTGAAAGACTCACTCTGTCTCTGCCCCCTTTCTCTTTGTTCCCCCCCCCCCCCCCGCTTTTTAATTTTTTCCAACTAGGCACTATGGTTTGCAATACCGTTTTTTAAAGAGTACCACGTATATCATTTTACCTCCTTTCAGTTCTTGTCCAGAGTCATCATTTCCAAATATCATTGTCATAATGGTCCCTTTTCTGTCCCTAACTGCACTCTCCCTTTCACTTTGTGGCAAGCTTCCTTCCATGGACAAATCTGCCATGAACAACTTTGTAACTATGTATCCCATGGTGATTCAATTAAAAATTTTTAGAAATACTATTATTCAAACCTGAATAAAACTGTTCATAGTAATATTATTATGAAGATTATTGTCCACATTATTATAGTATTTTAAGTACTTAATTTTAGCATATTATTAAAGTTTGAACCAAAGATGTCTTTCCTAACTTTTTTTTAAAATCTTCTATCTAGTTTGTATGTGTTCTTCACATAAAAGCTACTTAACAGTTTGATTAAAAAAAAAAAGGTATGTCTATATATACATATATTGAACTTTATTGCTAATAAACTCTTTATCTCAATAGTTTCACTCTAAGACATGGAAAAAAAACTTATCAGAAAACTGTTCTTAAGAATAAGTCCCCAAACCTTAAAGTAAATATAAACCAAGCACCATTCTGATTATTTGTGAAGGCTTGATAATGTTGGTGGCCTTGAAAGTAATTCTTTTAAAGGTGCCAATGATGTGCTGCTACTGGGTTTATTTCCTATTCATGGTACCACCTCTAATAAAGAGACAAAGTATCTAGACATATTGTCAGGATTATTATGGAGAGACATAAATTCTCTTAACATGTTGTTTGTATTTATAAATAATATTAAAACATAAAAAAATCATTGTAAATTTAGTGCTATATAAAATAAACTCTGTAATTATAAGAAAGTCAGTTGTTTTTGGCTGCAATTCAAAGTATACTCTTGCTTTTTGTTTTCTCTGTTACTTAGGGAACGGTTATCATCATCGCCAATCATGGTGACAGAATTGACATCCCACCTGGAGCAGTATTAGAGAACAAGATTGTATCTGGGAACCTTCGCATCTTGGACCACTGAAAATTACTGTGTACAATTTACACTAATTATGGGCTGCACAGTTTCTTACAGTGAAATGTTCCCTAGAATTCTAAAGTAGGCAGGTACTTTACTATGTTACTGTACCTTGCAGTGTTAATTTTTAAAATTTTCTGCAATATGCTTTTAGTCTAAGTAAAGCATGGATGGAAGCAATACTTTTCTCTTGAAGAGGCTCCTGAAAGTCAATTCATCTTAAGTGCAATAATGTTTAATAGAAAAACCGGGGCAGCTCTGTTGAAAGATTTTTTTAACAGAGGCCTCAATTACGGTCACTTTGAATTGCTTATAATTTCAAAAATAAAGCTGTGAAGCATTACATGTGTATACTTATACCTTCCAATGCTAAGTTTATGAAATGATGAAGTAAAATGGTTTACTTTTACTGAAGTTATTGATCAGTTTGAAGATTTGCTCTGAGAATATTTTAGTACTCACTGACAAGTTACCTAATAAATCCAAGTTCTGCATTTCTACAAATTTTAACCACATTATTATTTCTGTACGAATTAAACTTGAAGTTGTACTTTTTTTCATCTAGTTTTAAAGCTGGAATGCCTGCCATGCTTTACAGACTCGTAATTTATCCAAACAATGTGGTAGTTCTTTCCCAGCTGAGGGAGATGGGTGGGCAGAGATAGGACATTTCTTTTATTCCTTGTTTTCTAGTAATGTGGGGTGGGTTTATAATTTTATAAAAAATTCCCTTTCCTTTAAGCTTTTCTTTAAGCTGCTGTTTTCACTGAAAATCAGACCTGCAGGTGGTTCAATTTGTGCCTTTTCTCTAAGAATCCAAACACATTTTCCAATTCTTCCATACTTGTTTTGAGTAGGTTACTTGTTTAAAGTTTACTGTATACTATTAAAAAAAATTTGTCTTTTAAAGTCTGGTAATTTCTTACAGCTTTATTTTAGACAGACAATTTGAGAACCAATGACATACTTCTGTAATGATAAAGGAAAGAAAACAGGCTTTCCTCTTAGGAAACCAAAGAGCACAAAATGAGATTATTTCATTACATAATCACCACAAGGTTAGGCACTCTGACCGGATTAAACAATATTTCTGGTGTGAGCTGAGGCACAGGCACTTTCATTTGCAGAGTGCTGCTGATTCTAATTTTGAAGGTAGGTATTAGAAGTTTTAAGTAACTTATTCCTCATCTAATTTCTGGCCCCCACATGGCAGCCTATATTAGGAAAGTTTTTTTTATCTTCTGAATCTTTCATATATACATCAAAAGTTAACTTAAAAACAAGAACCCAGGGAGGCCATTCTTCCATCGGTCATCTAAATGTCAAGATGAGAACCAATAAGTAGGCAGAATACATAAACATGTTTTCTTACCTTTGTTTGAATAAGCCCCCCCTCCACCAACCCATCATAGATACTTTTATAAAAATACAGCCATTAAACTACAACTTTTCAAATACCACTTCTGAAAAATATTAAAAGGTGCACAAATGCCAGTCTCTTATTCTTCAGTTACTACTTTATGATCAGACTTTCAAGTATTTAGACTATTCTGAAGGCTTTACCCAGCTGACATACCGTGTAGTAAAAATATTAAATACTCGACACACAAAGCCTAAAATTTGACATTGGCCACTAAAACAAAAATTGAATTCCTAAATTCAAGCAATCAAAAGATGTTTATTTTTTATAGAAAGATCTGTAAAAAAATAATTTTCAAACAGCTTTACTTTCATAGAGAAAACTTTCTACAGAGGTTGACTAAGATTTTAATATTTTAAATTGTACCATCATTAAATAAGGTGGGACACCATATGAATTTCATTGCACTGGAAGAAATGCAAAGCATTTTTTAATATAAAGTATACAGAGCATTCTAGTCAACTACAGCTGTGTTACAGCTATGTGTTCTTTTGGATTTGGTCCAAAGAAACCTGAGTCTGTTTCCAGAGAGAATGAAAAATGTTATAGACACCTGATCAATTACTCCTCACTAAAGGAAACATAAAAATGGTATTCCTTATAGATCCCACTGAATCCCAGTTTTCCAACACTGATACTTTCCTTTTCCCCACTTTTCCACCCAGTTCACTTTGGGTTCCAGGTTCAGTTCTTGAATGATAGGCATCCATACTTTCTTCACACATACAGTCCATGGTCAAATGAAGTTCCCAGTTTTCCAATATGTTATCACCTCTTCTGTTCCCAGATCTCAGCCATATTTAGGTCCAAATCTTTAAGGCCTTTTAAGGCTTGGAGATTTCCAGTGTAAAAAGCTACATCTGCTGTGACCAACCTAAAGATAATAGGAAAATCTTTTTTAAAAATTTCACATGTTCACTGATAATTAAATCAGTAGTCTGACTACTAGACTATTTGGAATTCAGATTTCCTAGGAACCAAATGTGAATATATTTCTCTTACTAGTAAAATTTTTGCTATTATTATAAGACCATTTAATGTTCTATTCAAACAATAAATGTTATAAAAAAGAATGAACCAATGGCAGGTTGAAGTCCGTTTCATACTAATATATAAATACCTTGGACTTAGGTATTTAATATTTCATCTTATATAACATGGCAGAATTTAATAAAGGATCTTATTTTCAAAATAATCAAGATTCCCACATTTAAAATTAACATAAATCTGTTTTAAAATACTGTGTCTAATAAACATAACTACACAAAAGAATACAGAGAAAAATATGTTTTAAATTTAAACTGAAAAATTTTGATGAAAGCAAATGTTTGTGACATATGTAACAACCAGGAATTAGTATGATGGCTAAATAAAAATATAAAATTAACAAGAAAAAACTATATGGACAAATACTATGATAGGAAAAGTCGTAGATGAGAACACTTATGTATATGTGAAAAGATAATCAGAAAATGTAAATAAGCAGAAAGAAAATTCTAACTGCAGTTGGCGAGATACAGGGAAATAGTAGGAGTGTAACTTTGTCTAGTCATTTTGGAGAATATTCTGTTAGAGTAAAAATGTATATGTACACTGATCTACTTGCAGGTATATACCCTAAAGAAATAGTCACTTCAGTATATAATTTTAATTTATTTTATATATATAAAACTTTACCATGGGGTGGTTATTTATATTGGAAAATAAAGACCTAGAAAATCTACCCCTAGGGGGAAAGGATATATTAAATACAATTGATTCATGTGAGATACTATAATGAAACAGTAAAAATAAGCCACACTGTCCATTTCATTAGAGACAGATAAGTAACATTCTTCAGGAAAAAGCAATGTATAATATAAAATCTAAGTAAATTTAAAAGTACATTTTCTTAGATATAAATAAATGAGAACTTTAAGGATATAAAAAACACATTTATTAGAAATAACTGCCTAAGGGATAAGGAATGAGAATAGGATTGGAATGAGGCAGAGGGATGCTTCAGCTTCATTTGGAATGCCATGTTTTTAATAGCTCTGATTATTTTTTAAGTGAAAATGAAAACGGTTAATAATCGATTATACACACATATATGTGTATGTAAATATATATCATCACTATTTGACTTTCTGAGTAGGGGGTCCTGGCTTGAGAGGAAAAGATTACTGAACAATCTAAAAGGCAGTACTAACACACTTGGCTTGAAACTGATTACATACAGTCAGTTACAAAAAGTACCACTTACAATGCCCTTTAACTTATATAATTAAGATAGATAGGTCTGTAGATCCATACTATCTCAAGCAAAAGTTTCCTGTTTTTACCAAATATGGGTCCTGACATGAGTACAATAGAAAACAGCATAAAAATTAAAAAACCAATTTCACAGACTATATATAGCAAAAATAAATTAAAAACATACCCATTTTGAGGTCCTCCATCATTTATCACATTTAAGTGACATAACTGCTTTTTCAAGTGAAGTTTGTAACTTGCATTAATTCTTAAAAACAACATCTAAAAAATAAATAAAACTAAGTTTCTTATTGCACTATTAAAACAGAAGACAAATATCTTGAGTTATAGATATAAAATTAATCTTATTTGGAAACAGTATTTAAAAACTTCATTGTGGCATATACATTTTGCTTGTTTTTTCCTTGTTTTTGGGTCACACCTAGTGATGCTCAAGGGTTACTCCTGGCTGTGCACTCAGGAATCACTCCAGGCATAACTCAGGGGACCATATGAGACGCTGGAGATCAAACATGGGTCAGTTGAATGCAAAGCAAATGCCCTACCTGCTGTATTATCATGCCGGTCCCTGACATATACAATTAAAGTGTTAACACTGAAAGTACTATTTCTGTCATTTTTTTTCTGAGGTTGAATAAAAGCTCTTTTACCTTTTTTTCCTCAGCAGTACTGTCATCAGAAAAGCTTCCCCCAAAATGAGAGAAAGTTATATCCTACAAGGTATCACTGTATTTTTTAAGTGGCAGGCCTTATTTGTACCTTGGAAGAAGTCCTCTGGGATGTGTAAAGTAGAATCAGTTGTGTCAGGTATAAAATAGATTTTTTAAAAATGGGGAATTCTACAATATAAGCTAGAACCTTTAAATAGAGAAGGTAACAACGGTAGATACAAAGATACATCTTTAACTTTTTTCTTCTTTTGTTTGTGTGACATTATTGCTTTTTATTTAGAGAGGATATCTGTCCAAGACCTGTATTAGGCATTTTTAGTTAATACTTCACAAAGTAAAGATTTCAACAATCCAGTGGCAGGGTCTATAACCAAGAGTGAAGGTACTCATATGCATATGTCACTACTATAGAATTTTGCTAGAGAGTAAGATTCACAGTTTATATCAAATTTTTTTAAGTCTTTTTTTTAAAAGACTATTTTAAGTCACACAGCCATGTCTTGTAGGGCATTGATAGTGCTAAATTTCCCTCCCCCTGTTGTTGAGATGTTTTTCTGATAACAAAGCAACCAGCGCAGTTTTTATACCATATCACTGCAGAAGGTGTATTGGGCTGTGATGACCAAAGAGAATGATCTGGAGAAGATCAGGCTTTTCAGCACTGATCTGACAAAAATACTTTCAGAGGGCATCCACCCAAATTGGTAAAAATCACTTGAAAGTATATCATTGCTGCTGCAGGCATTTTTTTTTTAATGCAAAGGCTCATTATTTCTTTGGAAAATACCTGGCTTGAAATTATATACAAATAATCTATGGATGGGGCTGGAGCGGTAACTCAGCGGGTAGGGTGTCTGCCTTGCACGCGGCCGACCCGGGTTCAATTCCCAGCATCCCATGTGGTCCCCTGAGCACTGCCAGGAGTAATTCCTGAGTGAAAAGCCAGGAATAACCCCTGTGCATTGCTGGGTGTGACCCAAAAAGAAAAAAAATCTATGGAAATGTGTGTAAAATAAATTTTTTGTGAAGAAAAAATAAGATTACAGAGTTTGGTATGCAAGTCATCATAATGACATAACTTCTGGCCAGTTTTCAAAAGAATTTTCTTTAAATTATGATGTAGATAAAAACATATTAAGTACCTGTATGCCTACCTCCCTAAACTGGCTAAGACTTGTCCTCAAATTAGAACTCAGCAAATTCAGAAAGCCCGGATGTAAAAAATAGGGGTGTTTTACATATGAAACAAAAAGGATGGCTTGGCTGAACAAAATGAGGAAGAGTCCAGACTCTAGAAAGTATGATCTTATGGCCCCACCTCAATCTTTCAGAGCCCAAGGAACTGGACATATTTTAATCATGAGGATAGTATGAATATTGAAAACCTAGGGAACCATAATGAAAAATGGTTAAGAGCTAGTATAGGATGAAAAATGAGGTAGCCTGGAAATAGACTAACAGTAGGTAAGTTGCTAGGAAAGCAAACTCAGCTTCCTAACACCACTTTTATTAACCAGTTAGGGATAAACAGATCAAAGAAACTTACTTGTCTAAGTAGTAAA